TACACAAAATTGATAAATTATTGTTGTTATACTACAATGCTGCACAAGACGAAAATTATTCTTGTTCTGTTATCTGAGAGAGAGAGAGAGGCTTAAGCTGGGCATGGAACTTGTAAAATTATTGATAATGTGATGCAATGTTTAATTAATTCTATTTTTACACCATACAATTATATTAGTTTTGATAAATTGTTGCAAATAGATTATAGTAAATTAGTGTCTGTGCCAATATGTAAATTGATGTACTTTTCTTGGTTCATGAAGCAAGTGTGGTTGATGTGAAAATAAATATACTGTTTTGTTTTCTGAGAAAGACCAAAAAATTGTCTTTTGGTTACATTTTTGTTAATTAAATTTCTTTACACACTGGAATGTTTTTAATAAATTCTACATTTTTTTAAGGTCAGATCTATGAATATTAATGTACTTGATAAAAGTTGCTAACAATAAATACAGTAATTTGAACAGGCTGTTTTTGCTCAAAGATTTTTTTAAATTTCTTCTATAGGAATTAATAAAATATTCAAATATTACTTATGATTAATATTTGGACATGTAGCCCTATTAATTATTTTTCTAGTAATACATTTCTTTGTTATTGATTAATAAGTGTTCACTTGTGATCAATTCACTTTCCACTGAGGGCAAAAGTTGCTCTAAAATTTACCTTACAGGCATGAAAGGAAAAGTTTAAGTTAAAGATTATAAGAAGTAAATCAAATTATTATGTATAAAATAACATACATATACAATTGCATATTTTTAATGATTTTGTGTGAATATAATCCATACAAAAACTAATCCACCTTGTGCAATATCTTGGTATTTTATTAACGTTCCAACCTGAAATAGTTCACCTTTAAATGGTTTTATTTATTTCCCACTTTAAGAGGGTTTCTTACTATTTGAAGAAAATAATTTAACAATTCTCTAAATAGTTTAAACACTCCACAACTAAATATCTTCAGAGGATAACTCAAAATTTAGAATAAAAAAAAGAAATTCCATGGCAGTAGCAGATATTTTATGAGTTAGGAAATAAACAACCATGACAATACAGTTATAATATTTATTACCTCCTAAAGTTAAAGGAAAACACTTTTCCTTTCTCCAGTAGGTCTGTAACATGGAGAAAGAAAATTGAGAATTTCTTATTAACTCTCTGGAATGTGCATAGCAAACAGGAGCAGATCCAGTCGATTGTTTTGTCAGGGGCCTTCATAGATTTTTGTTAAATAATAAACATATGTTATTATATTGTATACTATTTTTGTAATATATGTATGATACTATACAATATTATTTTTTAAATCATTACATAATTCTAATACAAATATTTAAATCAATTTTGCCTAATAAAAGAAGGTAACAAACAAAAACTATACCTCTGCCACTGTTAGCAACTCTGCTTTTGGCGTGATCAGTTGTCATACCGTTCCTAAGGTTGCACTGCATTTGTTTTACCCCTATTTAAGGTATTCACAGTTGGTGATATTGGCTAGCAGTTTGCAATTTTCCATGTTTGTATCTTAATGATCATCATTCATAAAAGGATGTTTTGTTTTGAAAACAGCATTTTAAAGCTGCATTCTGTGCTGCTTGTGCTCATTCTCATTTAACATAAGAATTCATATCTTTTAAAAATTCCAAAATTTTTACTTCTAAGGTACTACATACTGCATGGGCCTGCTTGTGCTAGTTTCAATGTCACACTTGTGGGGTTAAAAAAAATCAGTACTTTTTCATCCGTTAAAAATCCCACAATTTACTCTATCTCAGTTCCTCATGTTAATTTACAAAAACTAAAAAATAGTTTTACTCTAATAATAACTAATGCATTTAAAAATAATAAAAAACAACAAAAATAATTACAATTTTGAGAAAAAATTTTGACCACAGCAGAATATTCTTAAAGAGTATCTGCAACCACACACATCACATCACGATTTTATTTTAAAATGCCAAATAAATTTAATTTTCCAAAAATAAAAAACATAGGAACTAATTTTTTGGAACAATATTTTGATCAACATTTCTCTAACTTCAGCAAGCACAGTTACGCTGTACTTTAACATATAATTGTCACCTTTGTGTGTTCTTTGAACAATTTTAATTACTTCTTTAACATGCATTCATATTTTCAGAAAAAGAAGAAGCAGTTAAAAAATTATGTTAATAATACCCTACCCTGAAACCTAAGTTCATTTCTATAAATATTCCAAATTGTGAAGAAGAGGCATTCCTTGCTGCATGAGAAAAGCCCATGCCGACAAAAATGATGTTCCCTTACATTCTCAACTAATTCCATAATCAAACTAATAAGGAATTTGCGGACAATTAATTTTGGAATGTTTAATCTCATTATTTAAAGTGTATTTTAAAATTTCAAAACATTAAGGGCATTGTCCAATTTAGACACAATATCTTTTGGATATTTCACATCCTTCAATGCTGCCCGAGGTTAATATGTTTAAGATAGTTTTTTTTACTTTTTCGCACTTACTAAGTAAGAAGAGATATTGTAATCGAGAACTGAAAAAGGCAAATTTTCGACACAAATACTCTTATTGCCAGGCCTAAGCAAGGAAAAAATGAATAAATCCAGTTGCTAAATATAGAAAAACAAATCCTCTAACATGTTGTGTAGCCAGAATCTATTTTTTTTTTTGTGCATACTTCATACCCAAAAACGATTGACGATAAAAGTCTGTCTGTGCACAACACCAGCGCATAAACCGTTCACCAACGTTCTCCAAAATTGAACATTCCCCTGTCATTTTTAGCTGATGTCGCAGACTCTCCTGGAATTTGAAACCAATATTTAATTTTGGGGTACTTACTTTACGTTAAAGCCCCGGGCGATATTTAAAAAAAAAAAAAACAGTATCTAAATTTTTTGATTAAATTTTGTTGTTGAATAGTGCAAAGGACGTTTAACAGAATGGTGCAGATGTCATTTTCATTGAAATTCCCAATTTTTTGTTAATTGGAAAAATCATTTTTTATCATATCATCAAAATTTGAGATAAGAGACGCTTGTCTCAGAGAAAGTTTGCTGTAAAAAATTACCTCATTAAAAAAGTAAAATAAAATTTTTTGGAAAAACGAGCATTTTTTGCATTATTTGCAATTGAAATGAACGATTTTTTTCTCTTCAAAAAAGGTCATGTATTTTTTTTTTTTTGAGAAAAAAATAAAAAAAATAAATAAAAGGGAATAGTTTTTGTGTATTTTACAATTTATTTTTCTCAAAAACCGCCCCCAAATTTTTTCTTTAAAATTTCTCCATTTATGTAATAAGAGATGATAGAAAATATGGTGCTAGTCATATTTTTGGCTAATGCACAGAATTTTGAATAAAAAAACTAACGAACTCGCTTGGCAGCAAAGATTAAAGGTTTTAGCAGGCTTTCTGTTTCACTGCTCTTTGGAGCATTATAACTGTATAATTTCTTAATGAATTATGAAGAGACTAAGTAAGGTTTTGTTAGATTGTTGACCTAAGTCTCTATTTAAAAGAAAATAAAACATTTAAGAATGAACTTGAAATATCTTGGAGACATGGCAAAAAAATAATTGTATGTATTTGAAACAAGAAATAGTGTTCCATAAAGAATGCCTTAGGAGAACTTTGCAGCCACAACAATGCAAACTGAAAAAGTTCCATTTATGATCAAAATGACACTTTTACGAAGAATTAATAACAAAATATGTACCCATTGTTGGCAGCATGTGTGCATGATTTGTTGTCAGCACTCATTGACTGAGATGTGCTGATATAGACAGAAATGTATAATTTTGTTACATATCCATTACTAAGGGGTGAGAAAGTATGTGCTGTTTTAGCACCACTAGTTAATTCAGTGTACCCAAATTTGAATTGCTAAAAGAATTATCTGAACAATAATACCTACATAAATAATATTATTGATAGATACAGTAAAAATCAAATCCAATTTTACAGAATACACTGTGAAAATTATTCAGTCAAGAGAAATTCCGCTTATTTGGAAGTTTCAATGAGGGTAGTTTGTGTGAACATGGTGTAAATATAAACATGAGCTTGGATGTGTAATAACCAATCAGATTTTGAGAGAAAATTGAAAATCTCATTCTGTAGCCTATACTCAAGAAAATTGCCAATTTTAACTTTCACGTACACATATTTGGATTAATATATGTAGTATTGAGAAAGTTGTGTAATGCCATAGAAAATCAATTTCAAGATTTTGAAAATATTTGGAAAAAATTTTTTGAAATACATACATATTGGGGTCCCACGATTCCAAAAAGTATTGTTTTTTTAATATCCATCCGTCTGTTGTTTGTGAACATCACTAGCACCTAAATTACGCTTAGAATTTTTCCAAATTCAATACTTCGTGGTCTATCTGGCCCCATTCAAACCTTTCTTATTTTGAGTAATAATTCTTTAGTTTTTAGGTATACTTTACATAAAGCCCATGGAACATATTCAAAATTTTCTCAAAATTGGCTTCAAATTTCTTGTAAGAATAGAGTGAAATACTCTTATATAGATGGAATAGACCCAATTTCCACTGTTAACTCTTAACTTTTTAAAACTGCAAAAGTTTGAAATTATTTTGCTATTTTGCTTCAACTACAAAATTTAATATTGTGAATTTTCCTGCAAATGAAATTTGTTTTCCAAAATTAATTCTTTCATTAAGGTCATGTAGATTTTTTTGAAAATTTTACTAGTTTTGGGGCAATATAGATTGAAGTACATGCAAGTTTCTCAAAAACTCATAAGTTTTCTGTGAAAATAAACTCAAACATTGCATTTTTAGAAATGCTCAAACTCCATTTTTTCCAAAACTGTTCCAAACTTTTCTTCACACTTTTTGTGCGCATGCACTGTATAACATGACATAAATGTCTTTTTATTCATCCTGCCATACAACACTCAAGAACATTTTACTTCAATTAGATAGAGTGAAAAAAATGAATAAACTTTAAAAATAATAGTGAATTTTCCTTTATTTTCTGCAAAACAAACAAAATTATCAACATTGGAGGATTTATCAAATGTTTTAACATTTTTAAGAAATAAAGAGCATTTTACCTGTTTTTAACAAGTTATATGCGAATAAATCTGAATATGGTCCTCTCACTAATCAATCAGAAACAACCATTCATACATGTGAGAATTATTACAGTCTCAAGGTGCCATAAAGAGCCTAGAAACATAACCCATAGTTTTTTGGGTTCTTTTTTTTTGTGTGTGTTTTTTCTAATCAACACCAGATAGATGTAAGAGCAGAACCCTAACAAACAGGCTATGAACTGTGCACAATCGCTCCTTCCTCATTCTTGTTCCTCCTTCTGGGATTAACAACCTAGTAGCTGATAAACCTCAAAACAGCAATCAATAACTTGCTGCACTCCCCTCATTCCAATTTCATTGCTCTTCTTAGGGAAGGAAAAAAAAAATCTAAAAGGCATTAATAAGGAAGTTAGAAAAAGCCAAAACATAATTACATCCACTTTTACAGAGAAGGCAAAAACAACTTAAAGCTGACCTCCTGTAAAATTAGGTTAATTTGACAGTTATCTTTACCTCTGAGGTAGAGATTAATTTTTTATGTAATCTAATAGTTTCATTTATGTATTTCTGTATTTGTTACATTGCAACCATGCCTGTATTATTGAACTACTAATCATAGCAATTTCATTACCTATGGTTTTTTTTATGAGATTTTCTTGTATTCCATAGAACATTTAAATTATTTTCAAATATTTTTTCCATTTCTAGTTTAACATTTTTGCATGACCAAGATTATTCAAAAACGGTATGAGTGAGTGTGCAGCTGATAAAAATAACATTACATTTTATCTTTAGGACTGATTCTTTACAAATCTTACAGTTAATTTTTTTTTTATATCTTAGTCACAAAATCAGTGGAAGAATTAATTGCTTCCAAAACTGCTTCTTTTGAGGTTGGAATTTTGGGAATCATCTCAGGCATCCTTACTTCATATCTTGCAGCTTGATTTTTTTGTTTGCATGGATTGGATACAAATTTTTGAAAAGCAAGTTCCCCTCTGCTTCCTCACAGTTTACAAGAATTTGGAAACTTTCATGTTATTTAATAATAAGAACCTATATAAATTAAAAAATTGTTGAGAGGTGAGGTCCAAATTAAATCCATTATAATTCCTGATAGAACTAAAAAAAATTCAAGAGGGTTTTGATTGACATTTCTGATTTTAACATGACAGAATCCAAGTTTGGTCAATTCATGGCTTAATGCCAGGAATCTGTCAATTGTGAATATCAATTTTTTTTAAAGGTGGAACTTTTTCCTGATTGTTAGTGGTTCACTAATTGTTTTCTAACCTCCTGTTGTTTTTTTTCCCCCATTCATCCGAAAAGATTTGTGGGGGTCTGCTGTTTGATACAGCAGATGTCAAATTTAAGCCCTTCTCTTTCTCATTACAGGAATCTAATAAGTCATTAAAAACATTTGTGACTTCCAATTGCCATATCTTCATTTTTGGAAATTCTTCTAATTTCAGATGGAGCTTCAAAGTCAACTACAAAAAAATAATGGCAATTAGTCACGTCCTAAGATATCATTGCACAATATTTATAAATGAATATGTACTATGCAAACATAAGAGCATAAAAAATATTAGACTAGCTATTCTTGAACTGACGGAATCATACGTAACATTTACTCATTGCACCTTAAATATATAGCATTCAACTTCATTCAAGTATTTGTGGGACATGATCCAATCAATTCACGAATAATTAATAAATGAGAAATTATGAAACAAATAAAAACACTGTATATGAAATGAAATTGAAATTGTGCAAGCAAATAAATATTTAAATTTATATTTACCATCTATTTGTGATAAAAATTCTATATAAGCCAACTATGATTTGCCAAAAAACTGTTGTTCTTGCTGCCCCCAGGACGTCATAACAGCATACTACTGCTGCAAAAGGTATATAACTTAATACCATATTAGAAAAAAAAACCTAATAATCTTTTTTTGCATAAACCCTTTCATAATTAATTTTTAAACTAGGATATGTAATGAAAGTTATTTTTCAATTATTTTAAATTTTGTAATAAAACTAAAATGACATTTACAAATGATATTAAAGCCAGCATGTGTTACCTCTTTAATGCTGGGTTATTGGTTTTTGGATACAAACAGAAACCAAATAAAACTAGTATTTTCCAGCCACAGTTTATGCCCCTCAACTTAAAAATGAAAGCATGATTCACAGAACAATAAAGAATGATTCACTATTTTATTTGCAGAAATCACTATTTTATTTGTTTGATTTGTTTCCGAATCTTCCATTCCTATAATATCATCCCTACGACTATTTCATAGACCACTCTCATATGCGAGGAAATTTCGTCCCACTGTTTTAGCAAACAAACTCTTTCAATTGCAGACATTTTTTTACAACTATCTCTCAGATGTTCCTTTGTAACCTGTTTAAAACCAGTACCAATGTGTACTGTTTCCATTATATTAATTCTTATTCATTAGTAACATTCCAAGTTCCAATATGCAGCCTTCGTTGACGTAATTTGAGTCTCCGTTTATTTGTCATTTCTTTTGGGTGTTAACTGTATTTTTCTTTCACGATGAACACTGTGCTGGCCCAATGCATCAAAATGTATTAACAAGGGGATAATACGTTGAATAGGTTTTAATTCAATAAAAATCCGTGAATAAGAGCAAAATGGTGTAATTAAATAATAGTATCACGGACATTCCCTAATCTCCATCAGCCCACAACTTTCTCAAAATGCGCGCGAAAACGCATCGGCAGCGCTGTGTACACGGAATATGCTCACTTGGGTTTATTTAGAGCTGCCTCTGACGTAAGGACCAATGAAAAGGTTTAACATCATATTAGTGACGTTACTGAGATGTATAAGCTCCCAATTACATAATATCGTAACATTTGAGACGTATCAGATCTGTAAATAATTTGCAGTGTAAAAACTTCGTCCCCACTACTATATTTAGTAGTATTTAACCAAACCAGCAGTGAACCGGCCATACATATAACTGTGGAATAAATACTCTTTGATTGTGGGTGCTCTATGGATTTGACCCGCAGCAGGGAGCTGGCAGGGAGAGATAGCAGCAATGGCAGCAACTTCGGAGTCAATTTGGTCAATTGTGTACAATTCTCACGGTGCACCTTATGTTTGCATGGCTTTGCTGCAACCAACGAGCTGGAGATACAGTTCTGTTTCATCCAAAAGCGTTCTGAGGCCCTCTTGTCTGCCATATGCATCGTGCATTAGCAGCACAGGGATGCCAAGTGTGGGCATTACGTAGAACATGCTTGCATGAATCGCATGTATTACTTATCCTTACATATGATCACATACGAGAACATGGAATGTGAGTAGCACGTTATTATCCACTTCATCTGGAAAACTAGCAATCGGCATAAGATATGATTTGTGAAGATATTCCTGTGTCCTGTTTAATTTTCTTCTAATCTTTGGTAAGTATTTTACGCAAATTCATTACATTTTAAATTTGTTACTAATAAAGTACGTATGTTTTAAATTATTTTATATTTGGTTATTGTCGATTTTTTACTGTCCTTTCAATGTTCGAAAATCTGGGTTTTTCGTACTAGAGGTATTTGATTTCTCGTGCTGGCAATTGTTTTAACAGTTTCATACGCAAAAATAGAAAAGCGTTAGATTCTAACGCTGAAAAACTCGAGTCTGTCGATTGTTCGAATTGTTAACAGGATGATGCTGTTCGAAAGACTACGTATTAATACCAAAGGTATTTCCTCGAAAAGTTGATCGGAATACATATTGGCGTTTGAAATGATAGTCTGGAGGTTCAGCAATGATATTTAGATTTAGCAAAGTTATGAAGTGGCGTTTGCTGATGCCATCTTGTTTCAGACAGTTCCTAAGGGCTGTTTTAAAATGACTACAACGCGAGAAATAGGAGGCTTGAGAGCAAGCAAATAGAGAGTCGCGAAGAGATAAATAGCGAAATAATTTAGATTTTTAATTGACTAAAGAAAACCATGAATATTTCGAAGTTACTTTCTAATTCTAAAACTGAATGTCTTGCTAGATATTCCAGTAGTTCCAGCAAGGCGAAATATAAATCGCATAAAAGGCGAAGGAAAACGAAAGAGCATCAAAAACACAAGTTTAAACGGAAATATTCTTCAGGCTCTAGTTCATCTGAAGGAAACCAACATGAGAAAGAAAATGTGAAGAACAGGTTGTATGCACCAGTATCTGATGAAACAGGTCATGATAGGACTTGTGGTCAGGAACGAGGAGTAAAATCAAATGAGCCACATTTTATTAGTCTTGATAGAGAAGTTGCTGCGTGGAGGTTCGGTCCAGCCCGTTATTGGTATGATGCATTGGGTGTTCCGGAAGATGGAAAAGGATTTGATTTTGGTATGAAGATCGGTGACCCAAATGATAAGTTAGGAGATGATTTTCCTGATGATGTTTATTTAATGGTCTCCCAATTACATTGGGAAGATGAAGTAATATGGAATGGGGATGATGTTAAAGATTCCGTTATGCAGAGACTAAAATGCAAAAGTAACATTGCTGGGTGGGTTCCATACAGTAACCATCGCACTGCCCCTAACCTGTCTGGAAAAAATGTTGCACGTTATGTTGGAGATTCAAATTTTTCAGTCAACAAGCAAAATATTAATGTAAATAAACTCAACAGCAAACCGGCAGATACTGATCCTTTGAATAAGCATGATCAAACAACCTCTGATAATCAAGAACATCCATGGTATTCAATTTTCCCTATAGAAAATGAAGAGCTTGTTAAAGGTATATGGGAAGATGAAGTTATTTGGGATCCCGAGAACATGCCCCGTATTCCAGAACCAAAAATACCTACTTGGGATGCCAATGATCCTAACCTGAATTTCATGAATCCAGAGGAAGTCAATCCTCCCAAACGGCATGTAGATTCAACAAATCCATCCAAAGTTAAGATACTCCATCCTCATGTAAATAAATCAAAAATATTGCTGGGAAAAGCAGGTGTAATTAAAGTAATGGAAGATGATGCTCCCCCCACTCCTCCTGAATCACCCAATAGAGATCCATTCAATGTGTCTAATGATAAATATTACATGGCCCGTTCTTCAGAATTAACATTGAGACTACAAATAAGTGGCAGCCACCTTATACGGCATGCTACTCCAGTGATGGAGCTTAGAACGCCATTTGTTCCTACGTACATGGGACCATTGCGCCTTCAAAATTTTCATCGTCCTATTCTTAAGAGGTTTTCACATGGCCCTCTATCTCATTTGGGCCATCATTTTGTTCTGCCATTAGCAAAACATATTCAAAAAAAAGCAAAACGGAGAGTGAAAGAACGTGATGCAGCAGGTGGAGGAGAGATATTTTTTATGAGAACAGATAAAGATTTAAGCGGTCGGGATGGTGATATAATTCTTGTGGAATTTTCTGAAGAGCATCCTCCCTTAATGAATCTTGTTGGAATGTGTTCAAGAATAAAGAACTATTACAAGAGGAAAGCTGACAAAGACCAAGCGTTACCAGAATATCACTATGGAGAACTTGTATTCGCTCACACTTCTCCTTTTTTGGGAACTTTGGAACAGGGGCAGTCTTTACAAGCCATTGAGAACAACATGTATCGGGCCCCAATTTATGAACACAAAGTTCCTGCTACAGATTTTCTAATAATCAGAACAAGAAAACAATATTATATTCGAGAAATAAATGCTCTATTTGTAGCTGGTCAAGAATGTCCTTTATATGAAGTTCCTAGTCCCAATTCAAAGAAGGCTGGGAACTTCATTAAGGATTTTTTGCAAGCTTTTATTTATCGTTTATTTTGGAAAAGCAATGACAGCCCTAGGAGAATAAAAATGGAGGATATACGTAAGGCATTTCCCTCTCATTCTGAAAGCAGCATTCGAAAAAGATTGAAATTATGTGCTGACTTTAAAAGAACTGGAATGGATTCAAATTGGTGGGTTTTGAGGTCTGATTTTCGATTGCCCTCTGAGGAGGAACTTCAAGCTCTAGTTACACCAGAACAATGTTGTGCCTATTTTAGCATGCTAGCTGCTGAACAGAGATTAAAAGATGCAGGTTATAGAGAAAATTTTTTGTTTGCTCCTCAAGATGATGATGATGACAATGGAGAAGAAGAAATGCAACTTCGAATGGAAGATGAAGTAAAAGTTGCACCATGGAATACTACCAGAGCATTTATTCAAGCTGTTCAGGGAAAGTGTTTGTTACAGTTAACTGGACCAGCAGATCCTACTGGTTGTGGGGAGGGATTTTCATATGTGCGAGAACCAAACAAACCCATTCAACACAAAGAAGAAAACAGGGCACAACCTAAGAAGACTGTATCTGGAACTGATGCTGATTTACGCAGACTCTCCCTAACTAATGCAAGATCACTTCTTAAAAAGCGTGGCTTAATAGGGGAGGATATAAAGAGGCTAACACGGTGGGAGGTAATTGATGTGGTAAGAACATTGTGCACAGAGATGGCAAAGGCTGGAGAAGAAGAAATGACTAAATTTTCTCGTGGCAATAGGTTTTCTATTGCTGAGCATCATGAACGATACAAGACTGAATGTCAGAGAATATTTGATTTACAAAATCAAATTCTTTCGTCCTCTGAAATTCTTTCTTCCGATGAAGCGGAAAGTTCCAACAATGAAAATTCTGACATTGAGGAGATGGGCAAAAATATAGAAAACATGTTGTCCAATAAGAAGTCGAGCTGTCAGTTGTCATTGGAAAGGGAAGAAGAGGAACGCAAAGAATTGAGGAGAATGTTAGCTGATGAAAAAAATGAAAATAATCGGCCGAATAAAGGCAAAAGAGATGAAAAAGAAGACCAATCTTGTTCAACTTCTAAAGCTTCTTTGTCAGGAAAGATTTTGAAGATATATCGGACATTCTGCAGTGCAGAGGGTAAGGAGTATACAAGAATTGAATTTGTAAGAGATCCTGCTGTTGTCGAGTCATATGTAAAAATTAGAACAATGAAAGATGAAGCATTTATTAAACAATTTGCGACTCTAGATGAGCATCAGAAAGAAGAAATGAAACGTGAGAAACGTTGCATCCAAGAGCAACTTCGGAGAATTAAACGCATTCAGGAAAGGGAACAAATGATGAAAATTAAATCTGATGTCTTATCAGATTTTGGCTTTCCTGAAGATAGTATGCCCACATTTAATAGCAATTTTGCAGCTTCCACACCTTTGGAAAATACACCGGCAGAGTTGCAAGCCAAAGAATCCCCACATTCTTACATGCCAAAAAGGAAGAAGCCCAAATTGAAACCAGATTTAAAATTAAAGTGCGGAGGATGTGGAAGTGTTGGTCATATGAAAACAAATAAAGCGTGCCCTTTGTATCAACCATCATGTGTACCACCGGTTAATGTTGCCATGACTGAGGAACAAGAGGAAGAAATGGAAAAAAGTTTGAATGATGATGAACACTTAATTAATATAGATGGAACAAAAGTAAAACTATCTTGGAAATTAATTAAACATGCTGAAGATATGAAACGATATACTTTGGTTCTGAAGGTGCCAAAAGATTTAGCTAACACACCCAAGAGAAGACGTTCTGTGAATGATATGCATTGTGATTACTTAACTCGGCAGCCCCAAACAGTCAATAGGCGACGCACTGATCCAGCTGTGGTTATGTCATCCATTTTGGAAACAATACTCAATGAAATGAGAGATATGCCTGACATTCAGCCATTTCTTTTTCCAGTTAATGTGAAAAATGTACCTGATTATTATTCATTTGTTACAAAACCAATGGATTTGCAAACAATTCGTCAGAATATAAGGCAAAATAGATACAGAAACAGGGAAGAATTTCTTGCTGATGTTAATCAAATTGTGGAAAATTCAACGCTTTATAATGGTGCAAAGAGTTCTTTAACTGATGCTGCCAGACAATTGTTAACTTATTGTGTGGAGCGTATGAAAGAAAAAGAGGATAGACTGATACATTTGGAGAAAGCTCTTAATCCTTTGCTTGATGATGATCAAATTGCCCTTACATTTATTTTAAATAATGTAATGTGTAAATTGAAGGGGATGCCAGAATCTTCCCCATTTCTCAAACCTGCCAATAAAAAGATTATGAAAAATTACTATGATGTAGTGAAGGAACCAATGGACTTGGAAATGATTGCCAAAAATGTCACTGCACACAAATATCAGAGACGGGAGGAATTTTTATCAGATGTCAATAAAATTCTTCAGAATAGCATCCTTTACAATGGTGAAACATCTGAAAATACGATGAAAGCCAAGGCATTGGTTAGTGTATGCCGTGCAGTGTTGGAAGAATATGCAGATAATCTCACAAAATTAGAAGCAAATATAATTTTGAATCAGCAGAATGCCTACGATACTGTGGAAATTGACTCTCCTCAGACAAATGAATATGGTGACGAAAGTTCTAACATTACAGAGACCAATGTAGGGCAAAAAGTTAAAATAGATAGTGAGTTGGGAGAATCTTCTTGTGCTAATTCAGATGTGGTTAATGCTGAGAGAGATAAGAGTAATGTTGGTGATAGTTCCCTCTGGGAAGATTTGAGGTTTTCTAGTGATGAAGACATGGAAAAAGAAATGGACTTACTTAGTGGTCCATTAAGTGAAGAAACTGTGCAAGACAAAGATTCAAATAACTGTTCACGAAATTCTGTAGCATCTGAAGAACAAGAACTCATGGACGTTGATTCACTTTCTGATTCCGATTCAGATGAGTCTCTAAATAATGGTATAAATTCCGTTGAAACAAAAGATGAACCAAAAAATAGGCAGCAAGACCATGAATAGTAAATGAAGACAGTAACTTAATCTAAACCTTATTAAAAATATAATAGTTCTTTGTGCACTTCCAATATTGATAGAGAAATATTACAAGTTATAAATGTAGGTATTGGTTTTTAGTACATTTTTTAAATAATATCTGATGTTTTCATTAAGTAAAGTGTGGTGATATTATAAAATATGCAAATTTAGAAACAGGTTTTTAAATATTTAAGAAGTATTGTTGGATGATGGAAATAATGATTTGAAATAATGTTTCACTGTTAAACAGCTTCAAAAAATGTGTTTGTGCTTGTCATTGGTTAATTTATTATGAAATCAAAATAAACAAATTGGGAAAAAAAAATATTTTTTTAAAGTTGTAAAGTGCAGTTGTGCAAGTATGTGGTTCATTGACAACTTTTCATTAATTTGCTTTTGAGACATATGTATTTGAGAGTTATTGTTTGAAGGCCAGTTATTTCTTCTGACCTGTTTTTGAGGCAGAAAAACAATTTTTTTTCTTCAGTCGATCACATATCAGTGTTTTGTCCATGGGACTCCACTAATTCTGTTGTGGAAACAACAAATTCTCCTAAGACTTCTTTTGCTTGTACTTATGATGTGTGGCGTTTAGGTGGATATTCTTCTTTTGGTTGTCCCCCGAAATATGGGTATCCTTCTTAGTTATGTAGGTTGTTTTGAGAATGCTTCAATAAGTCATTGTTAAGGATTATGCTGGAAGATCTGTGAAAAATTTAAAACTAGAAATGCCTAAGAATTTGACAAAATTCTCCAAAAATGTAGGTTCACAATAAATTGTGATGTAATATAACCCTTTGCACTAGGAGAGTGTTAAGAAGTTCATTGTACGGTTAGATGAATCTGCCAAAATTTGATGGAATTATAATTATATTATTCGTGCTTCAAGTCTTGGCCATCAAGTAATGGCTTTGGTTTTTCGTAGGAGTTTTGATTGATGTGCAGCTAGATCCTTTTATCTTATATTTAGAAATCTTTTAATGAATTAAATTGATCAGACTGTGGGAACTACATAGTAACTGAATTATGCATAATTCTTAGCCAGATTATAATCCAGAAAGTATTGGTTATAACTAGGGGGCGGATTATAATGAAAAGTCATGTCTTTTTCTTTCCACTTAAAAACAATGTTTTTGAGCATAGATATTCATTTTTTGTTATGACTAAACAAAATGACCCATTTTATGTTTTTTGCATTTTTCCTTAATTTCAGCAAATAAGTAATTTTTTATGTCGGTTTTTAATGTGTTTTTCACTGATTTCATATTGATTTTAACATTGTAATGTTACTTGCTGGAAACAATATTTGGAAGGTACAACAAATGTTTACCACAGAATTCCTGACTAGCCTATTCGATTTGTTCGCTTGTATATTGTAATGTCAGCCATGTAATGTAAAGTTCCTGTGATGCCTGTTGGTGCCACTGTCAGTTCAGCTGATTTTGCGGTATATAAAGGCAGAGATTTTCATTTAAAGATCACTCCAAACCAAAAGTTGGCAAACTGAGTTCACTTGAACTATTACTCCAGTTACATACCCAACAGATTGAGTTGTTCAACAGAAGTGGTTTTGATGGATTTTTTAATGTAATTTTTCTTTGTTTTTAGAGCATTTAAAATCATTTTAAAGGCATTTTCTTGATAATTTTTGACAATGTTTTAGGTCATGAAAATCCGACCCCTAGTTATGACACAATCAGTGTGGGTCATTGAGTAAAATTACAAATGATGTTGACTTTGAGGGGGTGGAAATATCCCCTCCTCCCCTCATTCTGTTCTGAGTTGATGCTCTTTAATAGTGGAGACACGATTGCTAGAGAGTATTATGAATTGCTTGCTACATGTTTTGTTAGTGTTTTGCATGCGTTTGCAAAATCCACATCATAGGAAGCAAAGAAATTAAGAAATTGTTAGAAGAAGTTGATTAAAACTCTTAAATGATTGAGGATGATTGGCAGTGCTACCAAAGATAATTAGAAGGTGCAGACAACAATGTTGGTGTACTAGAAACTGGAAACAGCCGTGGATAGAATGACAACACTGATTCACTAGGATTGAATATTGATGGTTTTTGGCAATTCACAAGAAACCATAGACACAAAACCCTGTGATAGTGCTACTTCTGAAAAGGGATTTGCACTTCAGTTCTGCATTCATCAGATTTAAGACAAATGTTGCTGATTAATGTGCAAAAGAAATTCATTACAACACACATTACAATTGCGCATAACTAGGAAACTTGTTTGTTGTAGGCCTTTTAAACCAAGTATAGTTAAACTGGTGAGGCATTTAAAGATGATTTTTCTGTTTTGCTCTCGCTATGTTTTTATCTCCATAACAAACAATCCTACAGAAAATTATGGTCTATAAAACATTAAAATAGGCAAAAGTTCATACAAGGTTTTATTGTAAATTAACCCTTTTAAAGTTATAGCTTTGTTCAATGAACGGAAGCAATTTAATCTTGTTCCACATTTATTAACAATATGTATTGGTAAATTGTATGTGTAAAACATGCAATTTTACATAGTATCAACATACTTGAGTATCTGAAATCTTTGGGCCCAGGAACCCTTTTGCATAGAAAAAAAAAGATCATCCGTAGTTTATTTGATAAGGATAGAATACAGATATTTGGTAAAGAATTGTGTTCAACACGGCAAATGATGGAGCAGTACTCTTTAACAAATTGGGCACAAACCACACCTGATATTTCCTTTCCCTTCCTTGCCCTAATCCTCACCCTTTCCTTAAACATGCACTACACTTCCACATATATTGGGAGACCAGTTGAGAGCATAGAGCTTGTCATGGCTGGAACAGTGCCCAGTGGTGGGGAATATGTGGTTGGGTCCCCCCCCCACACACACTAACCAACGTGTAAGTCGACATTGGATGTCACCATCTAGTGGGGAAGATTACGACCACCGCCACTCTTGATAAAACATGCACTGCGCTTAGAGGATTAATGCCATTGTCGATGATGTGCTTGGAAACGCTAAGTGATCAATCTCGTATTCGGTGCATCATTGTTTATGACTCGGCCGATGTGTGACAGCAAGGCTCCAAGCAAGTGGCTACCCTCCATTAAATGCGATTCTCTTAGTGTTATGGAACATCTTTTTCAATATTCTTGGTATGTAAAGAACTGTTGTGCTGGTTTTGTGTATGATATTGCTGAATTCGTTACAGAATTTATTTTCTTGTATTATAAGAGTATTTTATTTATGTTGTTCCTAAGCATTGTGTGTGCCAATATTTTAAAAAACCATTTAGTTCAGTTTTGGTGAGCAGCATTCTTGCTGCTGTAGGCCTTAATTTTTGGTTTTTGTCAGGGTTGCATAGTGTTTTCCATTGCATGAAACTTTAGAGGTTTTTGTTTATTGCACAAAAAATTTCACAAAAAAAGAGCACAAAGCTATGAAATGCCATATAGCTTCCAATGTAAAGTAACACCATCGTCCAACATATCTGTAATAAATTATTGTACCTTCAGATATTCTTGATTGGTTTTATAAAATAAATTCTCGATTCAATCAAGCTTGAGTCTTTCGTGTTACAGATATATATATATTTTCTGAAAATTAGAAACATGCAAACAATTATTTCCAGCTATAGCGGGGAAAACAATTTGTGAAAATAAGCTTTGAAGACAATCAGGAATGAGGTGATGAAATTGATGCCAATAGGGCACAAGTAAATGTGTTTTATCGTAATTCGTTTACAAACCCAGTTACAGTACAATCCCGCTTTTACGTTCCCTGAATTTGTTTTCCCGCGCTTAACACTTGATTTTTCCCGGTCCCTTCATGTTCCCTATGTTCATACTGTTAAATTGTCCCAGTATTTTACACTTTCGAAATTAATTTTCTCCTCATTTTGCACTTTTTGAAGCCATCACGGATCTGTGAATGCATTTTTTTCCAAGATATTTTGTCTTTCTCAAGTAGATTTATACGGTTGTCTACGAATCGAGTATCAATTTTAGAGAAAATCGTCTGAACGGTTTAAGCGCTGGCGTCGTCCACTAACGGACGGAGACATGTTGCCGTAAAATTTTTCTGTTTTCGAGGACCCACAAATCATGGATTCTGGCTACACCACGTGTTAGAGGAATTAATTTACTTTAAGTGTCAACCGGATATATCCACCTTGTCGTAGCGTCTGCCGAAAATTCGCAGTTTTCGGCCCACGATTACCAACGAATACCTGTTTTCTTATTGTTAGTACGAGTAAGTAAAAATACTAGAATTTTTGAATTTTAAATTGGAAAATATTAACTAAAAGTTAATTGATAATTTTCAGTATTTTATTTTAAGTGCAACAGGATTTTCCCTCCGTTTAGTTTCCCGCGGTTTTCATCGTTTTTTCTTGGTCCCATGAAATGTGTAAAAGAGGGGTTCTACTGTATTAATGCGAAACTCACTCAAATGGCGATAAAATTGCGTGGAATTTAGTTCAGTTTGGGAAGAAACGAAAATCATAAACACCTTGTACCTATAGATAAGTGCAAGTTGTGGTAGTGTGTGTTGCCTTGAATATTGTTTGTGAATATTAGAAGCTGGTGCTAAATTATGCTTGAAGAAAGCTTGCTTCATATAAAACATGATAATCAAAGGACACTAATTTACCCAAAAGATGGAATATCATGTTTTAGATAAAATAGTTCCTTTGTTGAATAACATTTGCATTACAAGAATAAGGTCATAACATTTCTTTATTTTATTTCCAGGTAAAAGATGAATATTTTCATGACCTGGTCTTGAAATATTCAGAAACGATACCAAAGTACTGCATTAAAGAGGGAAAAGAAATGTCTGCAGATTGTTAAGAGTGTGCAATAAAATCAAGGTAAGTTGCAATAAAATAGATGTAAAAGTTAATGGGAGTGTTAATATAATTAAAACGTAAGCGAGTTAGAATAGGAGAAAAGTATCACTGTACACTGAGCATCCAAAAATCAATTAGATGAATTAAAGAAATTC